ACCAGACTCGAACCTGGGACCCTTGAGTCCGCAGGCTGACGCTCTATCCACTGAGCCAAACTGGTTAGGGCTGAACTACAGTTTACACCCCAGGAGATTCACCCACGTTAAGAGTACAATTCAAAACATTTCCTCCTTCATCTATGCAGCTAATCTTTGTTCCCAGCCCCAGATATCCCAAGTTCTACCTTCTGATTCCATAGTTTTGCTTTTTCTAGAAATTTCATATAAATGGGATCCAGTCTGCAGTCACAGTGGGATTCCAAACCTGAATCTAACAAGGGAGCAGTGAGCCAGCACAGCAAGCACGCCCACCTGCACCCAGGGCTTTCCCTGCGTGCTGGGTCACCTGCGGGCACCATCGTATCTGAACCTCAGTCTTCACATCTTTAAAATGGGGCTACAAGTTGGGTTAAAGCCCCATTTTAGGGTTAAAGCCAGGGTGAAACGAGCTAATGGAGGCCCAATGTCTTGCATATTCATCATACTCCATGGACACTGGAAGCAGAACGAACACCCCGCAGCAGGACGGGTGGGCGAGTCCACTGTTACGTTCTTGCCCCGTGGAGGATTCTCAGGAATGACAATGAATGGACTCTAGGGGCCTGGGACAATATCGATGAATCTCACAAACATCGCATCCAGTGGAAGAAGCCAGACACAAAAAGAGCACATCCATGAATATAAAGTCCAGAAATGGGCAAACTTCATCTGTGCAAAGAAAAGTCAGGCCGTGGTTACCCTTGGATGGTAGTGACCAGGAGGAGTGTGGGTGATGTCTGGGGCTAGTCATCTGCTGTTTCTTGACCCAGGTGCTGGTTATGCAGGTGCATTGATTACATTCACTGAGCTACACCCTTACATGTGGATACAAAATTCAGAAAAGTCTTGCAGGTGCCTGGCACTTAGTAGGTAATTATTATTATTTCAATGATACAGTGCTTCAATAGGAAACTATAGTTGAGTGCAACAGTGGCAAACATTTTCTTTAGGGGCAGGATGGTAAACACTTTCGACTTTGCAAGTGATATAGTCTCTGTAGCAACTACTCCACTCTGCTGTTGTAGCTTGCAAACAGCCCAGGACAATATGTAAACAAATATGCATGGCTGTGTTTTAATAATACTTTATTTACAAAAACAAGTGGTGTGCCAGATTTGCCTCATCTAGTGGAAGATGAGCTGGATGCCAAAGCCTCTTTCACCAAGTCTCTGCAGGACCGTTCAGTCACTTCCCCAGCCTCGGTTTTTCTATCTGTATAATGGGAGGCTGATTTCAGTTCAACACTACCATTCAGGGTTGCAAGGAGATCAAATGAGTTCATAACTGAGGGAGCCCTA